GATGCCCTCTTCTCCTTCTGCCCTCAATCTTTCCCAGCATCAGGGACTTCTCCAATGAGTCATCTGTTCGCATCAGATGACCAGAATACTGGAGCTTCAGCTTCAGTCCTTCCAGTCAATATTCAGAGTTGGTCGCCTCTAATATTGACTGATCTCCTTGCTGTCCAAGGGGCTTTCAGGAGTGTTCTCCAGCACCACAGTTAGAAGGCATCAATTCTTTGGTGTCTGTCTTCTTTATGGTCCAGCTCTCAGAACTGTACGTGACCACCAGAAAGACCATAACTTTGACTATACAGACCTTTGTCGGCAAAGTCATGTCTCTGCTTTGCAGCACACTGTCTAGGTTTACCATCGCTTTCCTGCCAAGAAGCAATTGTCTTCTGATTTCATGGCTGCAGTCACTATCAGCAGTGATTTTGGAGTCCAAGAAGAGAAAATCTGTCACTGCCTCCAACTTTTTCCCTTCTATTTGCCATGCAGTAATGGGGGAGGATGCCATGATCTTAATTTTTTTAATCTTTAGTCTTAAACTGGCTCTTTCACTTTTCTCCTTCACCCTCATCAAGAGGCTCTTTAGCTCCTCTTCGCTTTCTGCCATTAGAGTGGTATCATCCGCATATCTGATGTTGTTGATGTTTTCTCCTGTCTATCTTGATTCCAGCTTGTACCTTATAGTTAGTTCACAGAGAATACAGCTCATTGTATATAGCTCACTATTCAGGTTCTCTTGTCATTTTACTAAGTTCTATTTGTGTAATAGTCTTCTAGCTTGAGATCTTTAAGAATAGGCACTTATGTTAACTCTTCCTGGCACATCATTTAGGTGCTTAACTAATTATATTAAACTAATGAAGGAACCTTACATATTTTTATTTACCCATGGAGCAACTTACTTGTAAATAACATAGATAAATCCAACTGCAACAAAACAAATGGAGTTTGACATTAACAAATTTTGGCTACCAAGACTCAATTCCCCCTTCCTGAAAAGCACCAATTTCTTCAGAGGATTTAACTTTCCTCCATTGCATACCATCTTCCTGAGTGATACCCACCTCCCATTATGAATGCTGGACAACAAAGTGTCACATGACTTAGCCTGGTCAATCAGACATCTGATTCTGATTCTTAAATAGCATATATTGATAGAGCAAATAGTTGGACATCATCCACGATGCAGAAATGTACTGATCACTTCTTCCCACAGTTGGCCATTGTTCCACTTTTTAGCTCTACTAGAATTCTCAAAGTCCTTTTTTATTTGCAAGCTTAGACCCCCAGAATTTTTACCTTAACTCTTTGAACCTATACATTATAGCTTCCCCAAAATTACCTTTGAATATATTAGCAAATTAGTTTCTGATGCTTACAGTCAATAACAGTAGATATACAATAGTAAGGATCAAGATGAAATAAGAAACTCAATTAAATGAAACCAAACAAACCAAAAGTCGGGTGTTCAGCATGGCCTGACCAAGTACTTAAATGCTAGACATTTTTATCTAGCCTTAAGTGTCATCCTAGGACCTCTCTATTCCTTGATATCTGGGAAAAACTGGATGGAGTCTCTCAATTCTATATCCCATAGTAATCTTTCTCCCAGATTTCTGAAATTTCCCCATTTATATTCTTCTCCCATCCTGTGATTTTTGGGGTGTCCATTCTCACATATTCATTCTCTCTTCCAAACTACCTTTACCAAGACAGGAATGTCAGCCATCTCACCAACTTACACACACACACACACACACTCATATAAAATATCTGTAGTATAGTGGAGGCAATGTGATTTTATGACCTTGAGCAGGTTGCTTAACCCCTTTGTACCTTAGTTACCACACACTGTAAAATGGATGATTGTTTTAAAAATTAAACGAGATAATACATGTTAATTTTATAGCTTATGATGACCTCATACATAGTAAATATTCAACACTGCTTTCCTAGCCAAGCTAGAAATTTCTGCTCTAGAACTCAGTGCTGGGAGAGGTCAGCACATACATCATGCATTTTAAACAAACAAAAAAAAATATGCAACCTAACTCCACTCAACATTTTACAGCCACCATACAACTAGATACTTCACCTTCTGCTAAGCAGAATCCAGACTCTCCTTCTTCTTGGAATTTACTTTTTTCCTACGTCTCCCTCCTCTGGCCACTCATTTTCCTGTCTTCAGAGTAACTTAAAAAATTCCTCTCCTGTACCAGGAACCCAGGCCCTTTGGCTTTCACTCTACATGGACACTTTACCAAGTGAAGGCATTTCCTTACCAAAGAAAGAATTTCTGGTTTCTACTCTTCAAATGACAAAATTTATTCTATCTAGTTATACCTAGAATATGGGCTTTCGGACCCTAGTTGTCTTCATAGTACCTGTGTGGATTTTTTCTCATTTATTTATTAAGGAATAGTTTAAAAGTACATAATATTCTTTTCCAGCTTTATTGAGATATAATTGACTTATAGCACTGTATAAGTTTAAGGTATACAGCATAATGAGCTGACTTACATATACCATGAAATGAATACCACAATAAGTTTAGTGAACATCCAGCAACGCATATGGGCTTCCCTGTGGCTCAGATGGTTAAGAATCCACCTGCCATGTGGGAGACCTGAGTTCAATCTCTGGATTAGGAAGATCCCTGGAGAAGGGAACAGCTACCCACTCTGGCCTAGAGAATTTCATGGACTGTACAGTCCATGGGGTCATAAAGAGCTGGACACAACTGAGTGACTTTCACTTTCACCATCTCATATAGATACAAAATTATCTCATATAGATACAAAATTAATGAAATAGAAAAAAATACTTTTCTTTGCCATGAAAGTTCTTAGGATTTACTCTCAACAAGAATGAAGGCAATTAAAAGATGCTAACCCCCAATTACAGGATAAGTTTAACTACAATATGATAAATATAATTAACACAGTTGTATAAAACTTTTCTTTAAGTAAAACTTACTTTTAAATTTTAAGTAAATGTATTTTAGAAGAAAATTCTATTTCACTACTATCAGTGGCAAAATAGTATTAAGTTTAAATGTTAGCCTCTCAGTCATGTCAGACTCTTTGTGACCCCATGGACTGTAGCCCGCCAGGCTCCTCTGTCCATAGAATCTCCCAGGCAAGAATACGGGAGTGAGTAGCCATTCTCTTCTCCAGAGGATCCTCCCGATTCAAGGATGGCAGATTCTTTACTGTCTGAGCCACCATAAGATTACCTTAAAATACTTACTTTAAAATAAAACAGATGTTCATGTGCCACCTAAAATCATCATGCATTACTAGTGATCCATATATCAAAATTTGGTAAATAAATGTCCTTTCATGGACACCAAGAGTGTGGGCTGGGAAGGAAATGGGTGGAAAGTCTGCTGTATTTGCATATTACTAATACTGTGGGTATGGAGAGGGAGTGGGTGAGGGTGAGTATATATTGATGGGATCAGTTTAGAAATCAGACAGAGAGGATGGTCCAGAGACAAGATTCTGAGGACTGATACCATCTTGTATCCTGCATTACAGTTCTACAGCACCCAAGAGAAAGGCTAATGTTAATTTAATTGAATTGTATTCTGCTATTAGAATTCAAGGCCACTATAAATAAATGTTGAAAATCTAGAAATGTCAGGGATCATGCTATCTGAATTACCCAAAAAGAAATACATTTTAAACAACTGATCCACTTTAATACAGTGTCTGAAACTTAAAACAATTTGATAAACTTATCGCCATTGACATTGCTCACTTCAGCCTTTTAATTAATAAAAGTAAAATGGAAACTCTTTAGATTCCATTATGCTTTCTTTGTTCAAATAATGTCCCAAACTTATAGAGGAAAATTAAACATGTGGCACTAGCCTAAAAATCTGTGTTAAAGTTCTAAGGCTCTGCATCAAGTCAGTATTTTAGGTAAATAACAAAACCCATGATGCTTCCATTGGGAGAAAACGCTTTATTGCTGAATATAGAGTCTCTGTGCATACCTAAGTGCACTAGAATGTCGCCCCATTTGAAATATATGTAGCACAATGACTGGCTGATCAATAACTCCTATTAAGTACCCACCAGGTGTCAGGGATTATTCATGAGACATATTCTACCCTTAAGTATCCCCTGGGTTAGGGCGATAGTACATCTTCGCAACTCCAGTCACATTATACTAGAGTTTCTGTCAAGATGTTTGACAGCTTCATTTTGTCACAGGGTTCTCCTACATCAAACACAGAGGCACGGTGCTCCTGATCTATACCTGAAATGTGCTTCCCTACAGATCTCAAATGAAAGAAAAACTGCTCCTGTGCTTGTATCAAGAGTGTATTTTTTGAGGATGTCTTCCAGCTATTGATATCAATGATATCTTCAGCCTCAAATACCAATTCATAATATTTAAATCTTATTGAATACATTTTTTCACATTATTTGGTTGTACTGAATAAAATGCAGCAAGCCTTTAAGAAAAAAACTTCCCTAGGAGTCATCCTATTATTTGATCTCCAAGAGTTGCAGGAAATTATAGGAAAACAAAAATAATTTAGCTTTATTGTAACTATACCATGCAACCATTATGCCATAAAATGAAATGACCTGGTTGATAAAAGAACCAGCAAACTAGCACTTGTCACAAAAAGCTATTTAAGTATCTATCTAAAGTTTAGATACAGACATAAATATTCTCAAGCTATTTTTACCCCCATTTAAATGCATTTTCTTCCTTCCTGTTACAGAGATGAATATTTTCATGCAACAGCATCTCCTGTAACACTAACTTTTAGCATAGGAATAATTTACAGCTATATTATACTTAACATTTAAGTGTAAATGAAATAAAAAGATTAATAAACAGTATCACATTCATGATTATATTGATATATGAAATGTTGAAGAAAATACACATTTATTAACTTTGTAACTCTACCCAAACAGATTTTTCAGAAGTCTTAGAGTTCAAATAACCACAATTTATAGCACAACATATATAAAAATGCAACATACCTCACATTAGCATCAAGTTTGTCCATTACAGGAAATAGGCATGGGTGAGTTGGATATCAGCGCCCACTGGGTACTATAATGGGGAAATAACAAAAAGGGGGTTAGACAAAAAGGCAATGTAGAAAAATAAAAGTCACTAAGGGAAAAAATGCCAAATAATCATTGCTTCCTAATAATTAAGACTTTTGTAAAGGATTTGAAAAGGAATAAACAATATTACAGTAAAAAGTCATTGGCATACTGAGATAGGGTATAGATGAGTGCTGCATCAAAGAAACTCACAGATGAGTTTCGTTGCATTTGATTAATCTCCTAGAGATTAGAACATAAAGGCATTTCTTTTTACTCCATGTTTAATCTATTTATTTATTATTTTTTGCTCTTCCCAGAAACATACTTATTTATATGATCTACATTAGGAAACCAGCTGGTGAAAACTTAGAACACTGTCTAAGATGGTCAGACATCTTGTTTCCTATGGGAATTTTTCAGGTTGCTATTTAAAAAACCCTTTTTGAGGGTGGATAATCATATCTCTTTGAGACTCTATAATAGTAAACTCTTGAGAACCCTCTTTCTAGAAAAAAAAAAAAATAGGTGTGCATGCATACACATACACCTTTTCTGGGGAGCCCACAATTCCTTGAGGCCTTTCCATGAAGCCCAGGCTAAGGACTCACAATCAAAGAGGAGGTCAACTTTCAAACTACTGATAGTTCCTCTAGCACAGACCTTTAGAGACCTTACACTCTATAAGGGACAGACACTCACTGATCTCCACCAAGTCAGTCCTCTGACCTGGCTGTGTAGTTTCGGTTCGCAGAAAAATTCCTGTATTTCTCACCACATTTATTCCAAAACATGGTGAATCAGAGAACACAGGGGCAGAGGTCAGTCTGTTTCTTTTGAGGTTACCCTAAGCAAGACCCTTTTTCTTCTAACTACATCATCTATTCAATACTTCTCAATAAACAGAAGGGATGGGAAGAGATGATCGCTGGGTTTACTTCTAGCTCTGATATTCTATAATTCCATCTGCTGGCTTTCTAGTAAAATTTTACAGGGAAGAAACTGTAAATTTTTTATGTACATAACATAACCATGAAAGTCAGCCTGAGCCCTGGGATTCCTTGGTCAGCATGAACCAAACATATATGCCTGGCAGCCAGGAAAAAAATGACAGGCCACCAGAGCTGGAAAGGACATAGATTTCTGTGTGTTTTTATTCTTTAAAACCTGTAAGATTAACATGGGCACCCATGTGCATTTGTGCATCTATGACAGGTGTGAGGAAGGCTGAGTCTACAGGGCTCACTTCCCTACTCTGACCTTAAGCAAAACACCTCTGTCTACCTCTATCTCTTTTACATTCTGAATCTGGAATTATCTTTTATTTGAAATACATAAGTACAAAGCCCTAAGCACTGAAGTAGTGGGATTCCACCCTTTGTACAAGTCTATCTAGAATCATTCCTGAAGTGAAATGATGTGTGTGCATATCTATTTTTTTCTAGGCAGACAATGATCAAGAGTTTACTAGACTGCCAAAGGGATATGATTACCCACTTCAAAGAAAGAAAGAAAGTGACGTCGCTCAGTCATGTCTGACTCTTTGCGACCCCATGGACTGTAACCCATTAGGCTCCTCCGTCCATGGGATTCTCCGGGCAACAATACTGGAGTGGGTTTCCATTTCCTTCTCCAGGGGATCTTCCCGACCCAGGGATTGAACCCAGGTCTCCCACATTGCAGGCAGACGATTTTACCGTCTGAGCCACCAAGGATAAGCCACTCACTTCAAAAAGAGCTTAAAAAACTGAAAATACTCATACTATTTTAATCATAACAATACAGTAACCTATTTATAGTAGTTAGTCCTAATGCAGATCATATAAATAACTGATGTTTTTCAAGAGCAAAAAATAACAGATTACCATTCATCCCTATGTCTTAAAATACAGTCTATTTGCTAAAGAATCTCAAAGTTATAGCTTCATCCCAGGCCCTTCCCAAACTTGTATCACCTACCTGACATCTCAACTTGGATGAGTAAAAAGCATTTCAAACTAAACTCATTTCCCACTCCAGCACAACGAGATGATCCTCCCCTAGCATCCTCCATCGCAGTAAATAACTCCACCATTTATCCAGTAACACTTTTTTTTCCACACCCTACAATCAAACTATGAGGAAACACCCTCCTCTACTTTGAAAATGATTCCTCAATCTGACTTTTTCTTTCATTACCTTCAAAACCACACCTGATCCAAGCCACCATCTCCTTTCCCTCCTGGTGTCCTAACCACTCTCCTAACTTTTGTAACTGGTCTCCTGCTGGCTCCACAATCATCTCTTCTCCCCACAGTAGCATTTTTGAAATGGAAGTCAGATCATTTCTTGCCTATATAAAATACTAGTGGCTTCCTGTCACACTTAGAATAAAGTTTAAACCCCTTATCAGTTTGGATTTTGCTTAATTGGTAAAATTCAAACTGATCATGTGGGTCACAACTTTATCTAACTCAATGAAACTATGAACCATGTCAGATAGGGCTACCCAAGATGGACAGGTTATGGTAGAGAGTTCTGACAAAACGTGGCCCACTGGAAAAGGGAATGGCAAACCACTTCAGCATTCTTGCCTTGAGAACCCCGTGAACATTATGAAAAGGCAAAAAGATATGACACTGAAAGATGAACTCCCCAGGTCGGTAGGTGCCCAATAAGCTACTGGAGAACAACGGAGAAATAGCTCCAGAAGGAATGAAGAGGCTGAGCCAAAGCAGAAACAACTCCCAGTGGTGGATATGTCTGGTGGTGAAAGTAAAGTCTGATGCTGTAAAGAACAATACTGCATAGGAACCTGAAATGTTAGCTCCATAAAACAAGGTAAATTGGAATTGGTCAAACAGGAAATGGTAAGAATGAACATTGACATTTTAGGTATCTGTGAACTAAAATGGACTGGAATGGGCAAATTTAATTCAGATGACCATTATTTCTACTACTGTGGGAAAGAATCCCTTAGAAGAAATGGAGAAGCTCTTAGTCAACAAAAGAGTACAAGAAATGCAATACTTGGGTCCAATCTTAAAAGCGACAGAATGATCTCTGTCCATTTCCAAGGCAAACAATTCAATATCACAGTAATCCAAGTCTATGTCCTAAACCACTAATGCTGAAGAAACTGAAGTTGAATGGTTCTATGAAGACCTACAAGACCTTCTAGAACTAACAGCAAAAAAGATGTCTTTTTTCATAGAGGACTGGAATGCAAAAGTAGGAAGTCAAGAGATAACCAGCGTAAGTTTGACCCTGGAATAAAAATGAAGCAGCGCAAAGGCTAACAGAGTTTTGCCAAGAGAACGCACTGGTCATAGAAAACACCCTCATCCAACAACACAAGAGACAACCCCTATACATGAACATCACCAGGTGGTCAATACCGACATCAGATTGATTATATTTTTTGCAGTTGAAGATGGAGAAGCACTATACAGTCAGGAAAAACAAGACTAGGAGCTGACTGTGGCTCAGATCATGAACTCTGTATTGCAAAATTCAGACTTAAATTGAATAAAGTAGGGAAAACCACAAGGCCATTAAGGTAAGATCTAAATCAAATCCCTTATGATTATACATTGGAAGTGACAGATTCAAGGGATTAGATATGATAGACAGAGTGCCTGAAGAACTATGGATGGAGGCTCATAACCTTGGACAGGAGACAGTGATCAAAACTATCTCCAAGAAAAAGAAATGCAAAAGGTAAAATGGCTGTCTGAGGAGGCCTTACAAATAGCTGAGAAAAGACAGAAAACAACAAAATTCTGTAAAACAACTATCTTTCAATTAAAAAATGAATAAATTTCTAAAAATTTTAAAAAGGAAGAGAAGTAAAGGGCAAAGGGGAAAAGGATTGTTATACCCATCTGAATGCAGAGTTCCAAAGAATAGCAAGGAAAGATAAGAAAGCCTTCCTAAGTGAACAATGCAAAGAAATAGAGGAAAACAATAGAATGGAAAGACTAGAGATCTCTTCAAGAAAATTAGAGATATCAAGGGAACATTTCATGCAAAGATGGGCACAATAAAGGACAGGAATGGTATGGACCTAATAGAAGCAAAAGATATTAAGAAAAGGTGGCAAGAATACACAGAAGAACTACACAAAAAAGATCTTAATGACCCAGATAAACATGATGGTGTGATCGATCACTCACCTAGAGCCAGACATCTAGGAGTGTGAAGTCACGTGGGCCTTAGGAAGCATCACTACAAACAAAGCTAGTGGAGGTGATGGAATTCCAGCTGAGCTATTTCAAATCCTAAAAGATGATGCTATGAAAGTGCTGCACTCAGTAGGCCAGCAAATTTGGAAAACTCAGCATTGGCCACAAGACTGGAAAAGATCAGTTTTCATTCCAATCCCAAAGAAGAGCAATGCCAAAGAATGTTCAAACTACTGCACAATTGTACTCATTTCATATGCTATCAAAGTAATGCTCAAAATTATCCAAGCCCAGGCTTCAACAGTATGTGAACCGAGAACCTCCAGACATTCAAACTGGATTTAGAAAAGGCAGAGGGACCAGAGATCAAATTGCCAATGTGTGTCAGATCATAGAAAAAGCAAGAGAATTCCAGAAAAACAGCTTCTTCTGCTTCATTGGCTATGCTAAAGCCTTTGACTATATAGATCACAACAAACAGTGGAAAATTCTTAGAGATGGGAACACCTTACCTGCCTCCTGTAAAATCTGTATGCTGGTCAAGAAGCAACAGTTAGAACCAGACATGTAACAACAGACTGGCTCCAAATTGGGAAAGGAGTACATCAAGGCTGTATATTGTCACCCTGCTTATTCAATTTATATGCAGAGTACATCATGCAAAATGCTGGGCTGGATGAAGCACAAGCTGGAATCAAGACTGCTGGGAGAAATATCCACAACCTCAGATACGGAGATGATACCATCCTTATGGCAGAAAGCAAAGAGGAACTAAAGAGCCTCATGATGAAGGT